CAACAAAAAATAAAGTTCTTTGGGGTCCTCAGTTTTTAAGAAAGAAAAGCGTCCAAAGGCCAAAATGAGTGCAAACTATCAGAAGCTCTAATAATTATGGTCTGCTAAACTTTGTGAGCTGAAAGTAACATTTATAAAACCATCTTATTAGAAATATTGGCATCAGATTAGATAGCCATATTTAAAAGATAGTTAAGCAGATGTAGAAATAGTGCCCTTCGATTTTCCATCACTTTCTAACAAAATAAAAAATGGTCGCCAGGCAGTGCAGCAAATGCATAGTCATGAATCTGACTTATATGGGAAAGATCGCTGGTAAGTTCCTACTCACTGCAAACAAGCAGAACTCAAATGCCAATAAATGACAATTTGAAAATCAGACATTTTTAAGGTAACATCAACAAATAATATTTAAATAAAATAGCCAATAAATTGGGCTGATCTCCAATGAACAGAAAGAGAGGCAGACTAAAAGTAAAAAAAAAAAAAAAAGTGTATGTTTAAGATCTCATTCTAATTTTCCAAGCTTTTTATCAGTGTCTAAAATTCCAACTTTTATCTTTCTCTAGAAATTTTCAAAATGCTTATGCAAAAAAGCTGTTGACAATTTTAGAAACTAAATACTGTAATCAGCATTTAGAAAAGTGTTTCGAACTGAACAATACAGGTTCAAATCCCAACATTCCTACTCCTTTGGACAAATTATGCATCCAACTTACCTAAGTCAATTATTTTCTAAAGTACAGAAATGTTACTAATATGAGGAGGGCTTCAAAAAGTTCAGGAAAACAGAAATGAAAAGATAATGGATTTTTTCTGTAGGCTTTTGAAACGCCCTTATACCTACAATTCATTGTGGTACTGAGAGGAACACAGTGTACATGTGATACATCTTGAGCAGCGGTTCTCAGCCTTCCTAACGCCGCGACCCTTTCACACAGTTCCTCATGCGGTGGGGACCCCCAACCATCACATTATTTTCGGTGCTACTTCATCACTGTCGTTTTGCTACTGTGATGAATCGGGCAATCTCAGTGACAGGGCCGTTCGACCCCCAAAGGGGTCACAACCCACAGGTTGAGAAGCGCTGATCTGGACTAAGTACTGAAAGCTAGTTGACCTTGTCATATTAATACAGCTTACCTTCAGTTCCTTCTCAAGCCTGTCCACTTCTGCTCCTAAAGTATCAATGATGTTTTCTCCATGTTTAAGCATAAAGACCTCCAGCTCTTCAGGAGTTTTCACTTCTTGAATTTCCTATATAAAAATAGGAAATCTAAAAATTAACATTTAAAACCCCACAGTGGTACATTTAAAGCTGGATATTGTGGCTGCTGTTAAATCAGCTCCTACTTACAGTAACCCTGTGTATAATATGAACACTGTATTAGCAATATCACAGTACTCAAATGATTAATTCCTTTAAAACAGAGATTTACTGTAACAAATTACCACTAAGTTTAATGAAAAATAAGCTTTCAAGCCCCAATTATTTATTTCCCACATAATTCCTTATTCTGTTCAAGAAACACTTGAATACAATGCTATTCAGAGGCAGCATCACAAAATCAGCGAAGAACATAATAGTCAATTAATGATGTCAAAACAAACACTTTTCTATAAGGAAAGTGTTTTAAATTTTTACCTCAGAATATTAACAAACATAGATGGATTAAAACCTAAACGTGAAAAGCAAACTTAAAAACTTTTAGAAGAAAAAAATACTGTTGTGACATTAAGCTAAAAATGATTTCTTAAGCTAGATAATAAACTACAGAGGAAGAGAGTATACATTTGACCATATTAAAGCAAACAAAATATTCTGTAATAAAAACCAAGTGAGAGGATAAATCATCAAGCTGGAAAGGGAACTGGAGCAAGGATTACTGTACAGCATAAAATACCTATAAATCTCTAAGAAAAATACAAAATATTTTTTGTAAAACAAAGGAAAAATGGAAAAGAAATCTCAATGGTCAATGAATTTTAAGGCTTAACTTCACTAACAACTAATATGAATTAAAATACTATCTCACAACTAGTATATTGGCAAAAACTAAAAAACTACTAAACAATGTGAAACAATAGGAACTCTGTTACACTGACAGTGGATGACATCAAATTGGCACAATCTACAGAACAATTTGGGACTACCTGGGGGAATTAAGGAAACATACACTCAAAGATCCACCTAAGATATTTTATATTTGGTCAACTCTCTCTGCCATCGAGTCAATGCCGACCCACAGCCACCCTCTCGGACAGGACAGACCTGCCCCTGTGGGTTTCTGAGACTAGAACTCTTTATGGGAGCAGAAAGCCCTGGTTTTCTCAAACCAATGGCACAGGTGAATAAGGAAACACTTATGAGAATGTCCTCACACGACTGCTTCTCACACTCTGGAAACAGGAAATACCCATCAACTAGAGAGTGGATAAATAAAATACAGCAGTTAGAGTAAATTAATTAAAACTGCATGTCTGAATATGGAGGAATCTTCAAAACACATGGTTAAAGCAATGATAAAAATGCAGCGGGGTGCATGCAATACATACTATGATGCCATTTATATCAACTTTTTTCATTTATATCAATTCTTTTTTTAAATTTTAATAAATCATTTATTGGGGTCTCTTACAGCTCTTATAACAATCCATAAATCCATTGTTATCAAGAACATTTTTACATGTTTTCACCATCATTTTCAAAACATTTTCTTTCTACTTGAGCCCTTAGTATCAGCTCATTTTTTCCCCTACCCCTCTCTCTGCCTCGTGAACCCTTGATAAAGTATTGATTATTATTATTTTCGTATACACCATACGCTGTCTCCCTTCACCCATATTTCTGTTGTTCATCAACCTAGAGTGGGTATGTGGATATATGTCGACCATTGCGATCGGTTCCCCCCTTCTCTCCCCACCTTCCCCCTACCCTCATGGTATCACTACTCCCATTACTGGTCCTGGGGTCTTTATCGATCCTGGATTCCTGTGTCCAGAGCTCCTATCTGTACGAGTGTACATGATTTATAAGGTAGAAGTGGGGTCATGATAGTGGGGGGAGGAAGCATTAAAAAACTAGTGGAATGTTGTATGTCTTGTCAGAGCAATACTGCACCCTGGCTGGCTCGTCCCTTCCTTGTGACCCTTCCCTGAGGGGATGTCCAAATTGTCTGCAGATGGGCTTTGGGTCTCTACTCCAGCCCACCTTGTTCACACTGATATGATTGTTTGCTTTGGAGATGCCTGATACCTGATCCTGTCGATATCGATTCTTAAACATCCAAAATTTCATTTCATGTTATATTGAGGAAAATCTGCTGGAGAGGTATAAAAATCTAGATGGAAAAACTAGGTGCCAGGATGCCTGTTTACCTGAGGAATGGGGAGAGGAGGAGGAGATAGGAAAGGATGCCAAGTCTGGGTGCATCAACTGCTTTTGTAATGACTTACTGCTTTTGTAATGATTTACTGCTTTAAGATTTATTGCTTTGTTAAGCAAATACAGTACTGCAAAATGGTAACATTTGACATTAACTTCTGAGCTGTTCATTATCTTAGCCACTATAAATTCACTCATAAACTATTCATAATAAAAAATCATGGCCTCAGGAATCAAGTCTGAATTCAAACCTGACACATTATTCCTAAAACTGCAATTGATACACATTACCTCAGTATGCAGTGTTTCAATTGACCCGTTTGTAAAACTAGGAATACTAGTTTTTGTAACTTAAGGATTGTTGAGAGTGTATGAGATGGCATCTGTAAGATGTCTGGCACATTAAAAATAACTAAGTAATAGTAAGTTTTCTCTTTTGTACTTTTCCTAACCCCTCCTAGCCCAAATACAAGGGTCTCAGTCAAATTTTTGCAACTCAAATACAGTTGAGAGAAGTGATTTTAAGAACTGTGAAAAAAAAGATTTTTTTTAAAAAAAATGTATTTAAAAATAATGTTTATAACCCTTGGATACAGGGAAATAATAAATATATTAACTTACTTGTAACATTTGGTCAAAATCTTGTTTTTCCAAATATGATCTTGTAACAACCCGTCCATCAAAATCTACTTCAGCCTTAAATCTCACTTTACCTAACCCCAGGTCTGTGGCTTTTACATCATGAATTGCCCTGCAATCAACAACAATACACAGAAATTAAAAAACATACCCACACATAAACACATATTTTAATGGCAAAAAGTCTAGAATTCTTATTTTCATCAGCGATAAAAATAGATAGTGCCGCCTGCTATATTCTAAGGCTCACTGTCTACTGAGTTTTACTGCACAATGACATTGTCATATACCAATGCAAACCTGATAAATATTTCATGAGTTATAAAGTTTGTGCATTAATAAATAATTAACACTACACAGTTTTACTTAAAGGTTATCATTTCATCTCATAAACCCTTTTTCCCAATTTCCATGTAACAATTAACAATTTTCTATTTCCTGTTTCCATGTAACAATTTCTTAAATATCACTTAACAAAAAAAGCATTCGTTGATAACAGTGCTTTACTGAATACTTTTAGAATTTCTCTAACAGTTTTATACAATTCTATAAAGGACTCTGATCGTAAGACTGGGATTATGTGGGATGGACAACAGAAAATTGGGCGAAGGGAGACGTCGGACAGTGTAAAATATGACAAAATAATAATTTATAAATTATCAAAGGCTCATGAGGGAGGGGGGAACGGGGAAGGAGGGGAGGTAAATGAGGAGCCGATGTCAAGGGCTTAAGTGAAGAGCAAATGTTTTGAGACTATTGAGGGCAACAAATGTACAAACGTGCTTGACACAATGGATGGATGTATGGATTGTGGTAAGGGTTGTATAAGCCCCCAATAAAATGATTTAAAAAAGAGAAAGAAACCAAACGTGCCCGTGGTCACCATGGGTGAAGGAGGAAGAACTGTTGTTCAGGGGCGACTGGGCCTATGTGAGCGGTGGTGGCGTCATTTGGAAAAGGACACTGATACTGACTGCACAACACAAAGAGCATGATCAATGGCCCTGAAGTACACATTGTTAAATGGGAGAATGTTTTGGTGTGTGTGTTTTTGCCACAATTAAAAATTATAATTGCATGAATTTAAAAAAAAAGAATTGGGTTTATACAAACTTCATGGAACTGATGTGGAAAACAATGAGTGCAAGTACATGTTAAAAGAAAGCTGCCATCAAATCTGTCTTGGAAGAAGTGCAACCGCAATGTCATTGGACACAGTGATGACAAGACTTTATCTAACGTAACACCCCTTAGACATGTCAGGAGGGATTGGGGAGAAAGACATCATGCTTGTTAGAGTAGAGGGCCCACACAAAATAAGATTGTTAAGGAGACATATTGACACTGTGACTCCGATCAAAGGGCGCAAGCATGTCGATGCTAATGTGGGCCGCACAGGCTCAGGCACTGCTTCGTCCTGCTGTACACTGGGTCCCCAAGAGTAGGAGCTGACTCACAGACACCTAACAGCAACAACAACAGCACGAGGGAAGCACACTCAGGAAGGCTGGAATAAAAAGGAAACTGCTCATGACTTAGGGCATGTAATCGAGAAAGACTCGGCTCTCTCCCTTTTTCAGTCTGCCGGCTCCCTGGCTTGTCCACCCATCCCCACGGTTACACAAGTTAAGAGAAGTTTCCAGATTACCATTTGGCCCATCGACTTGCATTGGACTGAACTTACCCATGTCTACAATTGTGTGAGCCAGTTCTTGAGCTCTTTCTATGTGCTTATAAGCATCACTGGCTTTGCTTCTCTATAGAGAACCCAGACTAGCACAGATGTCATTTACAAGATTGAGTTCTAAGAGATGGCGCATTCTATCTTAGTCACTCATTTTCCAGTTGCCTTTTGGGTTTGCAAACTTGAAGCAAACTGCCATACTGGAAAGATCTGTGTGTCCAAGAATTAAATCCACAAATATCTTCCCGAATGAGTTTGGAGGCTAATCCTTCCCTCAGGAAATGACTCCAGTGCTGGCCAACACCCTGACAGCAGACTGAGCGATCCTGAACAACAGGACACTACATTTTATTCTCATCCTTCATACAGCAAGAGGAAATTAACATCTCGTTTTAAATTTGTGTAGTAACTTTGTGGACTTCTAACATCATTTCCCTAATACTTAAATATATAGATCCTTAATATTAAAATAAAACCGAAAGTTGGCACGGTCAGTCCTGCAGCTTATAGCACTCCTCACAACTTTAATGATCTACACTTTAATGATCTACACTAAAGCAAGATTAAGCAATTTTAAAAAGAAAGTCCCTGACAAAACTTGCTCTGGAATATAGAATCGCTAAAGCAAAGGGCAGAATGATAGAGTCAAAGAGCTGAAGACAAAGTAAAATATTATAATAAATTGGGAAAAGCACTGGAGTTAGGAAGCCAAAAAAAGGAAGAACAATCTCGGTATCTGTCAAGATGAAAGAAATAGGAAAAAAAGGGGGGAAAAATCCAAGCTTCAAGTTGCAATACTGAAAGTTTCTCTAAGCAAACTACTGCATGATGCAAAAGCATCAAAAGGCAATGGAGGGAACACAGAGAGTCATTGCACCAAAAAGAATCAGTCGACATTCAACCATTTCAAGAAGCAGCATCTAATCAAAACCATTAGCAAAGGAATTAGTGAAATATGAGGCTCCAGGAATTGAAGGAAAACCAAATGATCATTTCCAACAAGCTAGCAAAACACTCACTCATCTATGTCAAGATATGTAGAAGACAGCTACCTGGCTAACCCACCAGAAAAGCTCCATACGTGTGCCCTGTCAAAGAAAGGTGACCCAAAAGAACACTGGTGTCATATCATTATTATTATTGTCACATCATGTCATATCATATCATTATTATCACACACAAGCAAAATTTAACTGAAGATAATTTTTAAATTGCTGCAACAGAACATTAACAGGGAGCTGCCAGGAATTCAAGGAATGTTCAGAAGAGAGCTTGGAATGAGGGCTATCATTGTTGATGTCAGGTGGATCCTGGCTTAAAGCAGACAAAAACCAGAAGCAAGTCTCCTTGTGTTTTATTGACTACGCAAAGGCATTCGACTGTGTGGGTCCCAAAACTATGGATAGCCTTGAGAAGAAGAATAATTCTTCTCAGAACACTTCACTGTGCTCAGAGACGGACACGGACAAAGAGCTATAGTACAGAAAACTCCAAATCTTAGCCATGGAAACTTCTTTTATTGGCAACTGGTGAAGTTCAACCGGAAGGGTGCTGAACTGTAAAGGTTGTAATGAAAGGCAACTGGAGATTGATTTGCTAATAAATGTACAGATACTTTAAAATATTTCATTTAAAGATTTCAATTATAACAGAAAAAAATGCATCTTTAATTTGAAAAAAATTTAAATGTACATAATAAATATATAAAAGTGCTTCCAAGTTTGAAAAAAAATTAAGAAAGATAATGGAATTTTTCCACACCATTTTGGAAGCCTCTCTGTATATGCAAATATTTTATGCTATTGTTTGTTGCCACTAATGAGCTCCTGACTCATGCCCTCCCCCAAACTAGCTGATTTTTCAGCAGCTGTAGGGGCAGTGGGCTATTTCATATGGCTTTTCTGGCCAAAGTCTTTAACTCCCACCAAGGAAGATGGGGGAACACACAGATGAGACTCGCCTGTGAGTAACTGCTAACAAGATACACTGTGATTGCCATCCTGCTGCATATAAATTGGTCCTCTGAGAAGCAGCAGACGGGAATCTCATGACCAGCAATGGAGACCCTTGGACAATCACCCTCCTGGATCCAGAAGACCACTGGGGCATCAGAGCAGCATCAACAGCAGAACCAGGAGCTAGAGCATGAAAAAGAGTGGTGGACTACCTAGCCCACAGAGCAAGTAAAGCCTTTGGGCAGGAGTCTGGCTTGTGGAGTGGAGTACCTATGGACACTTATTGGGGGAGCTGGACTTGTTGGCCCACAAAGATCTAGCTGATTGCCTTTGGGTTGAGGCTTACAGTAGAGTGGCATGCCCTTTGCGTGTCGTTAGCAGCCCTGAAAGAACTCTACATATAGAGAATACTATTTGAGACAGAACTCAATAGAAGTTAGATACCACCAGGTCTTCCTTTCTAGTCTGTATTAATTTGGAAGCTCACTGAAACCCCTTCAGTATCGGTAACTACATTTTAAGGATTCACTGGCTGTGCATAACATGCACTAACAGAGACTGAAATCGGGTCTCTTAACATTCTAAGAGATTCTAACACACAGTGACAGCAGAATGAAACATCACAAGGTCCTGGGCCATCCTCACAATTGTTCTTATGTTTGAGCCCACTGTTGCAGCCACCATTGTCAATCCATCTCATTGAGCATCTTCCTCTTTGCCCCTCTACTTTTCCCACTGCCAGTGAGTCGGTTTGGGCTCACTAGCAACTTCACAAATCTTCACAGGAGTAGATCTCGTTATCTTGCCCCAGGAGCAGCTGGTGGGTATTAACTATTAATCTTGCAGCTAGTAGCACAAGGCTTATCCCACAGGGTCACCAGGGCCCCAAATTACCTATTATCTAATTGCTCTTCATTCTTTAAAAATTAAAAATATACAGAACTTTAAGGGAACACTCAAGAAGTTCCCTAAATACATTTACTTCCTTCCTTTTAGAATTGAAATTCTGAAAGAATAACAGATTTTAAAACTTTTGCCCTCACCTAATGCACAATACAAAATGCATTAAAAACAACCCACCAAGCAACAACAACGAGGTTATGAAGGATAATTTGCTGAGGAACAAGTGACTGGGGTCTTAAATGTTCATGAGCAGCCATCTAATGTGACACTCTTGGTTTCTCCCCAGCCAGAAGGAAAAAAAATGGGCAATTTTTTTTAAATACATGGAAACCATTAGTCCAATGGACCAATGGTCCACTTCAACACACGTTTCCAAATCCTGAAAGCAAAAGAAGTAATGGTATGGGCCTACCACTACCAACTGCTCTGAAAAGTATCACATTAGAAGGTTATAGTTAAAGTGGGAGAAGAACATGGAAGAGAAGTGAAAGTCATAAGGGACCAGCTACTGGTCGGCTAGAAACTGATGCGACTCCCAAGATTCTGACCTTCATGTCTGGAACTAAATCCACTTTCATGGTAGAATGATCAATCATTTAACATCGAAAGGACAACTGAACCGTGATAAAGTCCAGAGGGCTAGGAAAGGAGGATGAATTGACAAGGGTGCAGGAGGGGATTGCCAGGGAGGAAATGAATCAGAACGGGTGAGAACTGCTGAGTATGGAAGGAATGAGGTAAGCTATGGTGCACTGAGGAAACTGCCAGGGATGAGTGATTCCAAATGTGTATGACTTGTTGAATGTAAAACTATGATCTGCTTTGTAAACTTTCACTTAATCCACAATAAGAAAATTTTTTAAAAAGTTGCAAGGACTCTCTCAAACTCTTCACCACCATCGAACAGATTCTAACTCATAGTGACTGTCGAGCAGGGTAAAACTGCCGGTGTGATTTCCCAACTGTACCTCTTTACAGGTACAAAAAGCTTTTACCTGCTGTAAAAGCTCCATCTTTCTCCCAAGGAGTGGCTGGTGGTTTAGAACTGCTAGCCTTATGGCTATCAGCCCAAATTCTAACTGCCACACCACCAGTAAAAAAATCTTTGTTGAAAGGATTTAAGAACAAGCATTTCTACTTTTTATTTCTCATTTATGTCTATTTATCATTTTCTTACATATTTTTTTCCAAACCTGTTTTACTGGGAGCTCTTACATATGGCATATCATTCCACAGTTCAATCACATCGGGTAGTGCTGGACAATTCCTATCACAGTCAGTTTCAGAACATCCTCTTCCTCCTGGAACTCTTCCTATCAGCTCCGGTTTACCCCTCGCCATGCCACTCCCTCCCCCACCCCCACCATACCTCCCAGGTATCCTTATTCTAATTGCTGACTCTGTAAGTTCATCAAGAGGGCTACCCACAATGACAAAATACATCCGAGATAAACCCCAATATGAAAACCAGATCCGGCCCAAAGTGCATCAATGAGGGGATCAAGGGACAAGATTTTAACCATTCAAGTCAGATTTCTCATTTTGATCTCCTATAGTCATTTCCCCAGTGTTTGGTAATCAACATTTCTACTTCTGAATATGTTCTTATCAACCGTAATGGTAATGTGCATGACCGGGATAAGGCTGACCTTACGGATGGGTCGTTCTCCAGGAGTTCAGTGAGCTTCTGCACTTGTTCTGCCTGGATGGATCGTCCCAACAGTGCTTCTGTGTTGGTGTAGATAAGGAACGCTGAGACCACACCTAATAACGTGCCCACACCCAGAGAACCTAGGCTGTCGTAGACAGGATTGCCTGGAAAAAAGCATAACTGAAATTAGTACAGTAACACTTCGTATTATCACCATGAACTCTGTGAACAAAGAGAACGAATAATCAGGGACTTGAAATTAATTCTTAATTCCTTTAGCAAATTATTTTTTATTTTTAAGATTTTGTAGATAGTGTTTTTACTCTAATGGAATGCATGCTAAATCATTGCATGCTTATAAATTTTTGCTAGATGATATGATGTAGGACACACACAACCTAACGAATTCTCAAAGGCTAGGCTAGGCATGGAAACCATAATTCACTTGAATGTGACCTGATGCCACACATTACACCTTTTTAAGACTTACCTAAGTCAGAAGGCCAAAGAGACGAACATTTAACATAATCATTCCCCCAGGATGCACCACAGCAATTCCGCTGTGTTTTATTCAGTTATGCAAGCCCCTACACAGATGCCTGTGTACAACAGATTCAGTCCACGGAATGAGGACGCGGAGCCGAGCACCTCCTGGCAGGAAGCTGGCTTGCAAACTAGGGTGCCTTTGGGGCATTTTGCAGCAGAACTATGAGCTTCATAATACTTACAGAGCAGAGGCCAAGGGATCATGTGGCTAGACTGAGGACTAGTGAAGAGGATATCCTGAGTAGAGAACTGAGAGATTCTGATTATTTCTGATCCTGACATGTAACGTGTTGGCTTCTCTAATAAACGCCTTGATTATGAGTATCTGAATTCTGGGTGGCCATTACAATGGATTATCAAACCCAGCAGAGAAGTAAACTGTGGTGGGAGAAAGGGATGTTGTCAGAATACAGTAAAGAAGATTGGAGGGGGTGGAGGCATATCCAACCTCTGCCTCTTAAAAATCAGCCTTGGACTGCTGACTCTCCTGCTTGCCCCTTGAGAAGTCACAGAAGTTAAAAACCACCCTCCTATTCCTGCATTGCCTTTTTTGTATGACTATGGATATTAAACAATCAAGACAACACTGGCTAGATCTTGAAATATTTACATATGTGTGTGTATTTATGAATGTGACACTGTTCTTCAATTTTCATAATTGGTAACGCAGACTATAAGATGATCTAATTGGCCAATGTGGGTCCATTTCAGCTCACTAATATTTATGATATTAATCTTTATAGATTCTTTTTCTTTTTTACTTCAACCTTTCAGGATTCATATTTCATACATTCTATATTCCAATTATTAATGAATGTTTACAAAGGGTTTTTTTGTTCTGAATAGTATCAAATCAGCAAATGAAGAGCCTGAAAGTTTGCCTTCATCCACATCTTTAGGGTCGACTCTGATTTGAGAAGACAGCTCTTCCTTAGCTTTATTTTGAATGTGTTCTGATTTGAAGGGCTCCTTTCCAATCCTATCTCAGACAATGTTCTTCTGCTATTCATAAGGTTTTCACATAAGGTCATTGTTTAGAAGAATTTGCCAGGTCCTTCTTCCTAGTCTTTCTTAATCCAGGAACTCCCACTGCCCCTGTCCACCACGGATGCTGCTGCTAGTATTTGAAACGCCGGGGCACATCACAGCAACCATTATGCCACTACAGTCTGACAACCTGAGAGATAATGGTGGATTTTCAGATTAGACACACAAACACCACAGAGGCGATCTGACGGTCCGGGGGTAGATACTGACTCCCAGCACGGGCAGTTCTGTACTCTAACACTACACCAGAGTTCTCTTGGCTTTAATACTTATGACAGAATACCACCAGGACTTTCTTCTGTGGTGTCATAAATGTGTTCAAATCTTCAACCTTGCGGGGAACAGCTAGTACAAATATTAAGAACTTTTAAAGGCACCATGTATTCACCAAGAGTATTATAAAATATCTATTTCTTCTAACATATATCAGTAGCATTTTTCCTATCCCAGGGTGACAAAATACTCACAGAGGTAAAAAATTTGAAACAAAGAACCATCTTTCTGCATTATTCCTACCAGAAGTTCTATAAGAAACTTAAGTGCTATAGAAAATGATATGAGTGATCCTTTATTCTTATACAATTGAGGACAGTAAATGGCTAATATTAATCTAAATGCAAAGGAGAGACGTTAAGTCGCTAGATACAATGTGTGCCTCAGAGCAGTGGTTCTCCAATGAAGAGTCCCTGGATCAGTATCAGCTGAGGATCGGTGAAAATGCAAATCCTTAAGCCTCACCTTAGACCGGGGTGGACAAACTGCAACTCTCAGGCCTTATGCGTCTCTTTCAGTACATACATGTGGCTCTGAGGTAAGACTGAAACATTTAAGGGCATTATTCAGAAAATGGTGATGTCATTCGTTTGTAAAAATGTATTTACGGCTTTTGAATAATTTTGAAATTGTTGTGAGGGACAAGATTGGCTCTTCCATCTCAAAAGGTGTCCAACCCTTGCCCTGGGCAATCTGCATCAGAAATTCTGGAGTGGGATCTCACAGCTGTTGTGCCCCTGGCCTCCAGGTGACACAGTTTCAATCGTTTGTCTTGTTAGGACTTAATTCTGTCCCAGAAGGAAAGGAGAAGGATTGGTTTATTATCTATGAATAGATAGGTAATACGCAGAGAACAGGTACCAGCAAATATGACATTTTAGCAGTCTTTTCAAGCCAAAGATGAGATTTCATCACTATTAACTCTTGAGGTGAAATAAAATATATCTAAAAATCTCTAATTGTATCCTACATTTTTATTAACTTAGTCAAAATTGTAAAAAGTAAATTGATGTATCTGTACTAAAATGTTAAAAAATGATCCTCTTTTACAACCTAATTTACTAGATTTGCATATGTAAAGTTCAAAATACAAAACCCCAAATTTACAGGGTTTAAAAATTTTTTTAATAATTCATATGTACAAATAGCGATTCTACAGAGTCATAGAAAATATCAGCTGGGGGAAAAAAAAACCTCCATTATAAAATATTTTATTAATTAACACAATATCAGGCAATTTTTCATTCTTGTGAAACTTTTATAACATACAAAATTTTTACAAGTTTGATTTAACTAATATATTATGTAAAAATATCATCTCCAAAAAGTTGGCATGCATGGAAATATTTCAGATCACAGTGAACACTGGACTAACTTAGTTTATTCTTAATATGTGCATTCAAAATGAGAAAGAGCTATTCATATTTCAGACTATTTTAAGAAACAATGCAAAACTGTATACTCATCACCTCAAATTATTTTAGACATACAAGGACAAGTGGGTAAGGGTGGAAAAGAATTCCATTCCAAGAGAATTCCCAACTCAGAAACAAATCTTTCTATAGTACATTGTATTTTTGTCCTAGAAAATTCTCCTAGCAGATTTCAATAAATATTTGCAATTAAAACACAAATTTTATAAACAGTACAAATTATTACCAGCTGAAATGTTAATGCCTAAAAATATTTTGTTATTGTTCTCATTTATCTGTATTGTTTTGTTCTTCAAAACAATGATGCAGATACCAAACCAAATCTGGAGCCTATTAAAAAGGCTAAGGAAAGTGGGAGCTAAGAGCTGTTAGTAGTGTCACTGACAGTAGAAAAGGGACTAAGTGCCACAGTATCTATTTATCTCCATAACTTTTTATTTTATGAAAGCTGTTCCTCAAATATTAAGGTCAACAAACCTGTGGGGTAACTAGGGTAAATATAATCCAAACTTTTATAGGTGAAGAACTAAAGCCCCAAGTGGTTGCATACCCTAAGTCACAGCTAGAAACAATTAGATCATTATTTAAATACTCTAGTAACCTTCTCTAATTCTAATTTTTAAAGTTATACAAATAATTAAATAGTAATTGACCAATTGTCTTAAACAAACAAAATATGGAATTGCCATTTAGTAATCTATTAGTATAAAATAATTCTGTGCTATAAAAGCAAATCCCTACCAATTAGAGGTACAGTAAGTAGCAGACAGAAATCACCAGTAATGTAAGAAATTATTTACCTGTTATAGAAGTAAGACCCATGCAAGTGGCTGCTATTGTCACTCCCAAGACTGCTGCAGTATCTTCCAATAATATAACATTTGTACTGGGGTCCCGACTTTCCATTACTTAATAGTGGGAACAAAAGGAAGGAGCAAGAAAAAAACACTTGAAATCTTCACTGGACACTATTGGGTGACATTTTATTAAGTATATATTTTAAAGAAAAATATAAATTAAAAAATACATGAAAGTATGATATAAAATTCTACTTTCAATATTAAAATTTTGGCTTAACTGTCAATACTTAAAAATCACTTTCTTAAGTTATATAAGCAACGGGGACATTTAAATCAAATCCAAATATAAAGGTAGTTATGCTCACATTATACAGCTATTTTTTAAAAAAGAAGTGGTGCATACATAAAACACTTAAAGATGACATTTCAGTATACTTTGTACATATCTGTAAAGAACAAACAAGTAGCATGGGGCAATTTTAAGCAAAAAAGGAGATGAAATAATATACCCGGCTTTGAAAATACATACCATACTTATAAAATGACATTCCCTTGGCTTGAGCACTCCGACGAAGTTCATTTACAGCAACAAGAAGCGTTGCTGAAAGAAAAGCATTCCTATCAGCAGGGTCGAGACTTCATGCTCCAGACTTTAAAGAGAGCATCTCAAAAGATAAATAATCACAGCATTTTAATGCCAGGATAGCCAATAAAGATATCTGTTATTAACTAAACACTCTCAAGATGCCAAATAATCATTACATGACCTCTTATTTCTCAACCATAATAATTTTAGTCTAGTTACAACTACAGTTATAACTTATTGAACAGCTACTGTGTGGCAGGTATCCTACTGAGCACATTCTCCTTTGATCCACCCAACATTTTAATACAAGTTGTGTTATTATCATTTTATAGGCTTTCAAACACAAAAGCATACTATACATAAAAGATGATAATGTTTAAAAAATGATAATGCTTCAGGACTAAATATACTAGGGGGATTTAAAAAGTATGTGAAAAATAGAATGAAAAGATAATGGAATTTTTCCATGAACTTTTGAAGCCCCCTGGTACTGTAAGTATATACATGAATTGTTCTTGGTAGGTGACTTGTAGCAATCCTATGTACAAAAGAATGAAATACTGCATGGCCCAGCACCACCTTCCTAACTGCTCCTACGTTTGAGCTCCTTGCTGCAGCCGCTGTGTCAAGCCACCCTGAGGGCCTTCCTCCCTTTCGCTGCTCCTCTACCTTACAAAGCATGACATCCTTTTCCAGGGAACGGCCTTCCCTGATAACATGTCCAAAGAAGGGGAGACAAAATATTGACATCCTTGTCTCTAAAAGGACTCAGGCCTCAGTTTTGCCAAGACAGATGAGATTGTCCATAGTACTTTCAATATTCTTCACCAGCACCATGGTTCATATGCGCCAATTCTTGATTATTCAACATCCAACTTTGAAAAAAAAAAAAAAAGTCCCTCGGGGTATCCCCCCCAAAAACGATTCCTCCCACCCGGAAAAGCTATATATTAAATTTTTTTTTTACAAAACAACTTATCACCTTCAAAGCACTCTCTATTACACTGAATACATTTGTTAAATCTGCGATTCCATTCTTGGGAACATTTTTAAATTCATCTGTTTGAATGGCTGAGAGCACCTCCCTCATTTTCTTCACCTCTTCTACGTTATCAAATCACTGTCCTTTCATTTCCCTTTTCATTCACAGAAACAAAAAGAAGTCACATGGAGCGAAGTCAGGTAAGGTGCATGGGCCACGAAAGGCATCCTTGTTTTTTGCCAAAAACTGGTGCACTGAGATGGCTGCATGAGCAGGTACATTGTCATGGTGTCCAAACCAGTCACCCATCTGCCACAAGTCAGGCCTATTTTATTCCACACTCTTATGCAATCATTTCAGAACCTCTAAATAGGAAACCTAATGAATGGTGTGACCTGGTGGAACAAACTCCAAATGTACGAGTTGACATTTTCACCCATTCAGGATGTTGATGGACATCCAGAAAGAGGTGTCATCAATTGGCACTTCACTTTTTTTGAAATGAGAAAACCACTCGTATACTTGACTTTTCCCCATAGTGCTGTCCTGGTAAACTGTTCAACAGCACAACGGTTTCTGTGGCATTTTTCCTGAGCAGGAAACAAAATTTGACAGCAGCACACTGCTCTCTTAAATCAGCCATCACAAAAATAGGAGGTTCAAGTGAAAACTGCTTTCATGAAAAAATTCACTGTAACCAGAAAGAACCTTCCCAGGTGATGCCACTGGCTGTACTATCTCAGACCGAGTTGCTCGATGCTCGCCTAGTGGTAAAAATACATACTATGAAAGCTCGTTCCACCCAGTGCAATTCCGGTGGGGGTTTTTTTTGGAGGGGAAGGGGGGGAGGGACTACTTCCTTGTATAATTCACAGGCATTAGACAGGCTCTCTACCCTCGTTGCTTGGGAGACCAGATTAGAAGATTATATGACCTGAGAGCAGAAGTCTGCCTCTGTCTTGGTGTTTATCCTCATAGTTGTGGACTCATAGAGTCTTTGTCCTTTTGTATTTACGAACTCCACTCAGCATAATGTTTATGCTTACGGTCTATCCATGTCATACAGTGTTTCATGGTTTCATCATTGTTTTTCCGGGATGCATAGTATTCCACTGGGTATATGTATCAAAGTTTCTGTATCCATTCCTGCACAGATGAACTAGTAGGCTCTTCCCAGCTTCTTTTCATGTTTCCTGCATCATTCATTTTGCCCCGAGAGCCTTAATACTGCAACTTGAGACCTACATTTTTCCTGGAGTTCTTTCAGTTTAAGATATGCTGAGCATGTTCTTCCTTTTTGGTTTTCTAACCCTTGAGTCTTTTCGTATTTCACTATAATATTTGACTTTGTCTTCTCAAGTTGCCCTTTGAAATATTTTCTTCCATATGCCTCAGCTACTCTATTCTTAAGAACAAGTTTCAGAGTCTCTTCTGACATGCACTTTGATCTTTTCTTTCTTTCCAGTCTTTTTAATGACCCCTGGCTTTCTTTCATTTATGTTGCTTTAGCTCTTATCCCACAGCTCATGTCTTCTGCCATTAGTGTTCAATATGTCAAATCTGTTGATATGTTCTTGAAATTTCAGTGAAATATATTTTGGTCCTTGTGGACTTTTTACTTTTGTTCAACTCATTCTCAATTTACATATGAGCAATTGATGATCTATTACACAGTAGACCCCTGGCCTGGTTTTAGCTACTGATACTGAGCTTCTCCATTGTCTCTTCCCACAGATGTAGTCAATTTGATTTCTGAGAAGTCCACCAGAAGTCCAAGTGTACAGGGTCTTTTGTGTTGTTGGAAAAAATATCCTTGCTATGAATAAGTTCTTGGTTTTGCAAAATTCCATCATGCAATCTACAGCTTACTCTATTACCAAGACCATATTTTCCAACTACCATTCCTTCATCTGTTTCCAACGTTTGCTCTCCAGTCATCAATGATTATCCATGCATTTTGATTTCATGTTTGATCAATTTCTGAAGATGTTGTTAGAATTCAATTTTTTCATCACTGGCTTTGGTGGTGGATGCATAAATTTGAGTAACTGTACTAACAGTATTTCCTTATATGTATATAGACATTATCCTATCACAGAGAGCAATGTACTTCAAGATAGATCTTGAAATGTCCTTTTTGATGATGAATGGCCATTCTTCTTGAATCTATCATTCCCAGCAGAGTAAACCATGATTTCTGATTCAAAATGGGTTGAATACCAATCTTCAGGTTTCCATTTCATTTTTCATAACTTCTAATTTTCCTATATTCATACTTTGTATATCCCAAGTTCCAATTATTAATTGATGTTTGCAGCTTTTTCTTCTCATTTTGAGTCACGCCCCATCAGCAAAGGTTTTAGTCCTTCCTATAGGCTTGACTCCATCCATGTCATCATGGTCAACTCTACTTTCTCAGCAGCTCCCTTTCTGTCACATTTCGGGTACCTTCCAACCCGAGGGGATCATCTTCTGGCACTCTCTCTGACAGTGTTCTGCTTCTACGCATGTGGTTTTCAGTATCAGACAATGTTTTAACACTATCCAAAATGTTTTCAGTGGCTAATTTCTCCAAAGTGGGCAGCTGATTCCTTCTTCAAATTTTGTTCTGGAAATCCTGCTGAATCCTGTTCACATCGGCTGACCCTGCCAGCATTTCAAATACCAGTGACTTCCAGCATCACAGCAATATACAAGTCACTAGAGTATAGCAAACTGACAGACAAGTGGTGGATAAATGAATTGTGGAGTTTCAGCTATGATTTTAGCACTTCCTCTGACAATTCTGGTATAGCTGAAACTTTCTAAACCTTTGAAATATTTTTATTGCAAAAAGAGATGGATTTTTCTAATGAATGACACTAATACCCAATTAAAAAAAACAAAACCGAAAAACCTCAGCATGGTTAGATGTTTACATATTTCAAATTTTGTTAGCATTATGGCAGGCTTTTCAAGAATAAAACATAGCTTTCTTCACCATATTTGCTTATGCACCTATTTGTCTTCAGCAATCGTATCATGGAGGTAAGCACACAATGATATGCTTTTTTGTTCTTTGATACCTGATAACTGATCCCTTTGTCAGCTCATGATCACACAGGCCGGTGTGCTTTGGTGTTTCTGAGCTAGATGGTCACTTGTTTATCTTCAAGCCTTTAAGACCCCAGACACTATATCTTTTGATAGCCGGGCACCATCAGCTTTCTTCTCCACATTTGATTATTCACCTGCTTTGTCTTCAGCGGTTGTGTTGGGAAGGTGAGCATCATAGAATGCCAATTTAATAGAAGAAAGTATTCTTGCACTGAGGGAGTACTTGAGTGGAGGCCCAATGTCCTTCTGCTACCTTAATACTAACCCTATAAATATATGTACTTCACAAAGCCCATTTGTAGGCCACTGGAGATCCCCTTGCAGAGAGGTCTCCGGGAGGAGACGAGCCAGACAGGGTGCGATGTAGCAATGATGAAAAATACAACTTTCCTCTAGTTCCTAAATGCTTCCTCCGCCCTCCACTATCATGATCCGAATTCTACCTTGCAAGTCTGGCTAGACCACAGGATGTACACTGGTATAGACAGGAACTGGAAACATAGGGAATCCAGGGTGGATGAACCCTTCAGAACCAGTGGTGTGAGTGGTGATACTGGGAGGGTAAGAGGGAGAGTGGGGTGGAAAGGGGGAACCGATTACAAGGATCTACATGTGACCTCTTCCCTGGGGGACAGACAACAGAAAAGTGGGTGAAGGGAGACGTCGGACAGGGAAAAATATGACAAAATAATAATTTATAAATTATCAAGGGCTCATGAGGGAGGGGGGAACGGGGAGAGAGGGGTAAAAAAGAAGACCTGATGCCAGGGGCTTAAGTGGAGAGCAAATGTTTTGAGAATGATGAGGGCAATGAATGTACAACTATGCTTTACACAACTGATGTATGTATGGGTTGTGATAAGAGTTGTATGAGCCCCTAATAAAACTATTAAAAAATAAATAAAATTAAAAATATATATAAATTTCATTATCAGAAAAAAAGAAGAAGAAAACATAGCTTTGCTCTTGCTCTCATTCATTAAAAGAACTAGGGTGCATTAGACACAGCAGGCCAACGTTAAATTGTTATTCCTCCTACTTTCTTTAATCAATAGAACTTGCACAATATCAAAATGAACTGATGAAAATGTAGAACTGTATTAAAAATAAGTATTTTGTGACTGTACATACCTCCTTCTGAGATCAATGATCCTGCTAAAATACAATAAGCCTACAAAATAAATATAAAAATAGAGCATAAATGAAGTATTCCACTTAAAAAACACATTTGTTTATGTATAAACTTTATAAGTGAAATGAAAGAAATATCAAAATCCCAACAAGATGATAAGGCTCTTGACAGAAACAGCTCAAATTATAATAATGAGATAGCTGTTATAGTAGATTGAAGTGTTCTCCAAAAATTCAGGTCCACCCAGAACCTCAGAATGTGAGTTTACTTGAAAATAGGATCTGTACAGAAAGAGTTATTTAAGTTATGACCATATTGGATCAGGGTAGAGTGTAAAATTAATATAACTGGTATCCTTGAACGGGCACACTGAAACACAGAGGAGACAGGGGAATGTAGCCAAGTGAAGGTGGAGGCAGGGATAAGTACTACAGCTACAGGCAAGGAATGCTACGAACACCCAAAAGGCAAGAAGAGATAAGTAAGGATTCTTCCCTAAGGGCTTCAGAGGGAGCACGCCCAACACCCTCTAACCTAATTTTGGATATCCAGCCTTTAAAACTATAAGAAAATATATTGCTGCTGTTTTGAAGCCACAAAGTTTCTGGTGTTTCTTAAGGCAGCTGCCTCACCCCACCCCCTGGCCCAAAATACAGATTTTGTTACCAAACCAGGATGCCATTGAAACACCACCCCTCCACCCCCCTTTTGAAATAGGAATACCTATCCCTATGCCTGACTCACCACTGTATTTTAGAAGTAGATCACTTGTATTCAGTTTCAAGAAGAGTCAGCAGAAAGAAAAGTGTTTTGCCCCAGAGAAGAGATCCTACCCACCCACACACCATTTAGATCAAATTCTCTGGACTGAAAGTGATGGAATAGGTAAAGCCTTTGGGGAATGTTGGGACAGATGAATAAGTATATTATGGAACTTGAGAACCCTGTCTAACACAGAAGGGTATGAACTTTGGGTGGCCAGAAGGCAGAATGTGGTGGGTTATAAAATATCCTTCCAACCGTCATCTGTACTTGAAGTCTAAGAAGGTGCCTATATTTGGGAAGAGAAATTTGCAGATATAACTGACGTCACATTGGATTCGGATGGGCCCAAAATCTGATTCCTGGCAATCGTTTAAGAAGACGCAAAGCTTCATTGGATGTACAGAGTAGACTTAGAGATCATACCCACTCATGTTCTAAAATATAAAACAACAAATACATAACCCTAAATCTCCAATTAAAAAAATATTATGTTAGGCCACTCATTAACACTAAATATCACAAAGGCATTTTACTATACTTAAGCCACTGATTACTTCATATTATAGTCATATGTCACTTAATGTTACACTCTAAGAAATAAGACTTTATGTGATCTGACCATTACTTGAACACTGTATTATATACAGGCAATCTCCAGAATGTAAACAAGTTCCATTTCTATGCCTCTCTTTAAGTTGAAACAGTTAGGCAGTTTATATCTAGCATCAGCTAGTCAGGGGTTTGTTTTAGCACAGTTTATCTTTCCATGCATAATTAAAGTAACACTATACACTAAAACATCTTTAAAATAGTAATCCAATAATAATATTCTGATGTGTATGGCAAAGTGGAACCTATTATTATGAACCTATTACTGTATGTACCTCAAATTTTTAATACAATAGTCTTTACAGTGGTTGAGTCCACAGATGCATATGTGGTCAGATATTGTCCTAACAGATGTTATTCAGTGCATGACCATACTTCAAAGCTAAGATTTAAAAAAAAAAAGATTACCCATAAAAGAGATTCCATAGGTTGAGGATTAAGCAATCCCATGATTCCATGGTACCAAGATAATCCTGCACCCATCATGAAAATACCAACACCGCTAATTAGTGAAGCAATATATCGCATATTCATAAAGCCATACCTAAAAATAAAAGAATAATACAGTTTTAAGAAACAGAATCGGATTCTTTTCAAAAGTTATTCCTAATAGGTCAATAAAACACATAAAATAATCTTCAAATATCTAGATACCATAGTTTTACTTCTGATTAAAATAACATCTGTGTCAAATATAATAAAAAATATAGAATAAAACAAAATTCATAGTGGATAAAGTAGCAAGAGCTTCAAAGTTACAAAGTAATAATTCAGGTATTTTCTCACCCCTTTACAGTTTTGTTTTTTTAATCATTTTATTAGGGGCTCATACAACTCTTTTCACAATCCATACACACATCAATTGTGCCCAGCACATTCGTACATATGTTGCCATCATCATTCTCAAAACATCTGCTTTCTACTTGAGCCCTTGGTGTCAGCTCCTCATTTTTACCCCCCTCCATCCCCCATCTACAGTCTATTTTGATCCAGTAGTACTACTTTATTATTATGTACAACAGATGCTGATGAAGTTTGACCTGGTGTTTTAAATGCATTTGGATGTTTAATGAACAGAGTAGCATGCAAATTTGCATGTAATGCAGATTCAGTTTTGTGGTTTTGGTGTTTTTGTCTTTATGTACAATCTATCTATATTACCTCTAATCTGATGCAAGATTATTTCCTGCTTTTTCTGAATAGTTTAGCTTACAGCAACTATCCATTATTACTAAGACTAAGAGCTTTGGTTTTCTCATTTGTTTTTCAATGGCTGTGTTTGGGTTGTTCCCCCCCACCCCACCCCAATTTCACTGTAAAAACTTAGCAATTTTTCATCATCTTTGGCCAATATGAACATTTCTTGTACTATTGCAAACATCAATAAAATAATAACTATTAGAGCAATTTAAAAGTCCTACATTTCATAGAAGGCAAAGAATCACTCAATAATATACTTCTTAAAATTTTCTTTAAAACTTCCTTCACAAACCTCTACAGCACCTTCTGGTAGAAGCATATTTACACAAATCCTTAAAGTGTTATTTTAAATTCTTTTTGAAAGATAAAATTTGTCACAGAGAAGTGTAACTTTATATATTGGTGATGTGCTAGGTATTTCATTAAGAAATATTTGCTTTTAAAGAAAATTAAAATTTTAGTTCTTTGATCACACTGGCATCATTCCAAGCATTTCAACAGCCACTAATATGATTAAAATATAGGATAGCACAAACACAGAATACTCGCAGCATCACAGAAAATTCTAGAAAGCACCAATTATAGGCTGTTGAAAAATACCTTGAGAACAAATCTTCATAAGCTAAAATTTAAAATTCTTATTTAAGTCTTTGGCATGTGAATTTGTTCAATAAAAATATTTTTATATAGAAAAAATTATAACAGATGATTCATAATTATTTAATAATTACAGAGCTGTTCTCTAATAATAGCGTTTTGTAGTTACAAGACATTCAGAATGCTATTTATAAAAAAACATGAAAACTTTTTATTCAAATAATAATAGGCATCTATAAAGCATAGAGATAGGCTCTTTTATAGATAATACCTTAAAAAAACAAAGAATGATCAAATGTATTATATGAAAATACCAAATCAAATTCTATTACTAAAGTTTTTCAAAACTGATCATGTTGAAATTCAAAATTGTGGCTGGTTATGCTTGGAGAAGCAACAGAGAAATCTTTGTCTTTAAATGATACAACTCAAAGCAATATATTCTAAAACGTATATGCATTTGAAATAGATAATTTTGAAATATTAACAGAATGCTATTTCCAAATCACAAAAGAAGGGTTAAAATAAATACAGATTTCTACATTTTCCCCAATACTTTTGGGTGGCCTAATCATCTAAATTTAAAGTATGCCTCCTTTACACTTAAAAACAGAACTTGAAGATAAAAATGCATAGCTTATTATTAATTATCAATTGTGAAAAGGGCAAAATCTCCACGCTGTTGTAAGCATAAAAATAAGTTAAATTCCATTTTCATATTATACCTTGAATCTACTTTGGCACAGTGGTTAAGTCCTGCATTTTAGATACTACAGAAGTAATGACCAAATCTTTAACACAAACTGCAGGTATGTAAACTACAGGAAATTTCTGAAAGTCAGCTGCTTTTAGTTCAATGACTTGCGGCCAAAACAAATAAAAACAAATAAAGGCAATATTCTTACGGATGAGTAGGATCTGGTGTTTGAACAGACTTACTGATGCCCAATGCTAGTAAACCCTGTGGAGAGGAAAGGTTAGCATTAACAAGAGGAGGACTATAATATGGCAAAGCCCATCTGTAGGGTGCAGTGTGACAATGCCATAGAAACTTCTGACAGACATATGCAATGGCCTCCCAACTACTTATCAGAAATAATGATGAACCCCTGAAGCAACCGCCCACCACCCTCGAGCCTATTCCCACAGGCATGTAGAACTGTGCCTTAACAGGGTTTTTGAGACTGCAAAATCTTTACAGGAGCAGACAACATCCTCATCTTTCAGAGCAGCTGACAGATTCAAACTGTGAACCTTGCCATTAACTGACCAATGTTCACCCTACTACGCCACCTGGAAGTAACCTAAGTATCCATTCATTGAAGAATGGCAAACGGAATACCGTATACATTCATGTATAAGCCGAGTTTTTTCAG